AGTTCATCAGCAATAGTTTTAATTTGAGTCAGAAAATCATGCATAGACTGACCATCAAGGGTGGTGGAACGCAGGTCAGTGCGGAGCTGTCGAGCACAAGCTTTAGTTTGAGTATGAAAATACTCGTGAACCTTGTCCTACACTTGATAAGAGTGAACGGAGCCAATGACATGTGAAAGGATAGACTTCGAGAGCGTCGATTGCAGCCATGTGAGAAGCATTTGATCCTGGACCTCCCAGGTTTCATATGCTGGATTAACAATATCAGAATCACGATCAGCATCAGTCAGATACCAGGGTGGAATTTGCAGATTAACCACAAACCGTTGAAGTTTGTGGGATTTGATGACTGGTTCGATCTGCTGCCTCCAGTGAAGATAATTCGAATCATCAAGTTTTTCAGCTATGGAGTTGGAGAATGAAAGGATAGACTTCGAGAGCGTCGATTGCAGCCATGTGAGAAGCATTTGATCCTGGACCTCCCAGGTTTCATATGCTGGATTAACAATATCAGAATCACGATCAGCATCAGTCAGATACCAGGGTGGAATTTGCAGATTAACCACAAACCGTTGAAGTTTGTGGGATTTGATGACTGGTTCGATCTGCTGCCTCCAGTGAAGATAATTCGAATCATCAAGTTTTTCAGCTATGGAGTTGGAGAAAAATTGTGAAAAGGGAGAGGGATTATTTGAAGTTGCCATAGAAGAGATGAAAAAGAAAAAATTAAGATCCGGGTACAGGATCAGAAGGCTCTGATACCATGTTAGATAAAATCAAGAGAGGTAAAATGTAATAGTGAAGTTTTATTATCATTGATGCTTACGAAGGAATACAAGGAGAGCTGAATATATAGGGAACCTTTTCTAAATACAGCAGTAAGAGAAAAGAGAGAAAACGGTTGTAAAAGCAACCAGAAGAGAGAGAAAAATTAGAGAGGTGGCAGGACAGCTGTCCACTAAAAGGATTCTGAAGATATCCTAAAGATATCACAGAATGCAAAAAGAAAAAAAGACTAACAAACAAATATTCCCTTTTTGTTGTAACCCATATACACTAACAGTCCACTCCGCTACCTCGGCCTCGCACCAGAATACACCACCGATAACCTTCACCGATGACGACTACACTGGCGTCTGCCCCAACCAGGACTATCCAATGGTCATCGCCGTGGAGGTCGCCAATTGGGAGGTGCACAAGACATTGATTGACCAAGGGAGCTCGGCTGACGTCCTATACTGGCTGACATTCCTCAGGTTAGACATCCCTCACTCCCTTATCCAACCTCACACAGAACCTCTAGTCGGTTTTGCAGGAGAACGGGTTCACACTCGAGGGTACGTGGACCTGATGACATCCTTCGGGACCTCTCCTGACTCAAGGCGGATCATGGTCCGATATCTCCTCGTGGAAGCCAACACGTCTTACAATATCATCATTGGAAGACCGACGTTGAACCAACTCGGAGCAGTGGTGTCTACCCCACACCTCACGATGAAGTTCCCAGGAAACGGTGGTAAAATCATCTTCGTCAGGGCGAACTAGAAAATAGCTCGGCAGTGCTACACCGAGAGCTTGAAGGTCTCACCATCCGAGGAGCGCCGCAAAAGTGACCTTTCCACTGTGGCTCATATCGCCCACGTAGACATCACCGACTTAGATCCGAGGTCGGACTCCCACGAAGAACGACCAACTCCTATTGATGAGCTCGACGACATCCAGATCGGCAACCTCCCTGGACAGTGCACCAAAATAAGCAGACAGCTCAACCCATAGTTACAGCGACAACTTGAAGCCGAAATCTCCAAGAACGCCGACCTCTTTGCATGGTCTAGCACTGACATGCCAAGTATAGATGCTAACTTCATCTGTCACAGGCTGGCAATACACAAAGAGGCAAAATCAGTAGCCCAGATGATGTGCTTCCACTTGGAATGCACATGGATGCTTCACACCTTCACGGAATTCCTTGGATGAATCTTCAAGGAATGGAGACGCCTCAAATGTGCAAGGTGACCTAAGCTTGCATACAAGCTAAGTCCAAAGAAGACTAGGGTTCCTAGATCTACAAAGAGAAGCACTCAAGGAGGGTAGAGTTAGGAATTCAAGGTGACTTCGGTGGAGATGAATTTTAAGAGAGAAACTCATCAATATATCCAAAGTGTCTACAATATTCGGCCATAGGTATACTTATAGAATTAAGAAGTGTGTGTGACTAGATGGACTTAACCTAAGGCTAAGTTAAACCATGGTATGGTTTAACTAACCTTAAGCGCCAAAATTTGAATTCAAATATTCAAATTTTGGGAGCCAAATCCGGTCACCCCATGTGCCACTCCATTTGCATGTGATTTACCTTGCATTTAGGAGTAATTTTTGGACACCCCATGTGCATGAGTGCACATGGCCGAAATGCTCACTAAATGTAAGGTTAATTACATGTAAATTAAAATGCACATGTACTCCTAATTAACCCTAAATTCAAATGACCATGAAATTAAGTTCCTAAACTACTTGGCCAAAATACAAGGCCTAAAAGAAATACAAAGCCCTAAGGCCCAAATCTATACTAACATGTTATTTACAAAACACACAATGTGGCCCATGTGAAGCTTGACTTGGACCTTCCAAGCTCACCAGGCCCATTGGGCCTTGACTGGCCCAAGCCTTCATGTCTAGCCTATTCCTCTTGGCTCTTTCAATGTGTCTCCCATTGCCTTCATAGGCATGATTCCATCATCCCCTCCCTCTTGAAAAGGATTTGTCCTCAAATCACGAGGATTCATATGATAGGAATCAACACCTACACGAACAAAATACCATGTATTAGAAGTGATATGTTTATCTGAAGCAAATGGACGTACGGGGTATCCTAAAAGGAAACCTAAGAGACCATTATTGGATCTTTTAAAAATCTTTTCTTTTTCCAATGTTTTGAGTAAAACATTGGTAGCGACTCCATAGAACCTATTTTCAAATCCATTGATTAAGGATTAGTTTGGTGTCCGGGCATTCCTTAATTGATGAGATCTTTAAAAGGATGTTTAAACCATTAGTCGCAAGATCGGAAATTTTTGGGTTGCGACAGATGGCGACTTCACTGGGGACGTTTAAAGAGTGTCAGGCCCATTTAATTGATGAAGTTAATAAAATAAAAATAATAATTTAAATATTTTCCCCTTTACTTTGTTTGCTTTATTTGTTTGGCTTTAATATTTGTTTGCCTGTTTAAATTCAGCATTTGTTTGAAATAAAAGTTTAAAGAGGGTCAGGCCCATTTAATTGATGAAGTTAATAAAATAAAAATAATAATTTAAATATTTTCCCCTTTACTTTGTTTGCTTTATTTGTTTGGCTTTAATATTTGTTTGCCTGTTTAAATTCAGCATTTGTTTGAAATAAAAATTGTACACAATCCTTTGCACACAACAGTTCCCCCTACACCCGGGGGCATGAGGGTAATAAACATAGGGAGTGGTTGACGTACGACCGGCCCAAGTTTGGCCTTGGAGCCTGCGAGCCTTGTCGGAAATCACACTCAAGGTGATAACCGGTTACTCTAGCCCGAAATACTGCGACAAACCTTAGAGTTTGCCAGGTGACGGCGACAGAGATACTGGGTCCCTATAATGGGGGCACCTTGGGGGCCTTAAGACCAGCGAGATTAGAACTATCCTATACAATGCACTTTTCTTGCAGGGACCACAGACCAAGAATTTAAACGTGATTGTTCGCGGGTGTACATTTGTTTGAGCATATGTGTGTTGCATTTGTTTGTGTTTATTTATTTCAAATAGATAAGAATTACAAACAAATAAATATTAATAAAAAAGCTACTGAACGCGAGTTTCATCCGTGAGGTCAGATACACCAAGGAATCGTACCCCTTGCCGAGTACAACCAGATCATGATGTGCCTACCAAACGAGGTGCACACGTCGTTCATCACCGGCCATGCCAACTTTTGCTATCGAGTGATGCCCTTCGGTCTCAAAAATGCAGGGGCCACTTACCAGCGGCTGATGGACAAGGCTTTCCACCAACAGATCGGGCGGAACATGGAAGTCTACGTCAACGACATGGTGGTCAAAACCACCTCGGTCGAGGCTCATGCTACCGACCTGGCCGAGGTGTTCAGCCAAATCAGAAAACACAACATGTGCCTCAACCCAGAAAAGTGCATCTTTGGCGTCCAGGGAGGTAAATTCCTTGGGTTTATGATTACTAGCAGGGGGATAGAGGCCAACCCGGAGAAGTACAAAGCCATAATCCAGATGTAGAGCCCTTAAACCGTGAAAGACGTCCAGCGCCTGACAAGAAGGTTGGTCTCCCTTTCCCGTTTTATCCCCAGGTTGGCGGAGAAGGCATGGCCCATCTTCACCCTTTTGGAAAAGCCAAAAAATTTTGAGTGGACGAACCAGTGCGAAGAGGCTTTCAAGAGCTTCAAAGCCGGATCACAAAGTCGACCTCCTCCTCTACTTGGCCGTGGCAGAAGGCGCAATCAGCATAGTTATAGTACAAGAGCACTAGAAAGTGCAGACTCCGATCTACTTTATCAGCCGAGTGCTCCAAGACACGGAGAAACAGTACCAGATGATTGAGAAGCTGGCACTGGCACTTGTCACCGCAGCTCGGCATCTCTGACCCTACTTTCAGAGCCACCGGGTGGTCATCAAAATTGACTACCTAATCAGACAAATCTTGCGAAAGCCAGAGCTCACCGGACGGATGATATCGTGGTCAGTAGAGTTGTTTGAGTTCGGCATCAAATACGAAAGTCGCGACCCCCTCAAAGCCTAATGCCTGGTAGACTTCGTGGTCGAACTAACTCCAACCTCGGAGGACGAACAACAGGTATGGATCTTACATGTTGATTGGTCCTCCAATTCTATGGGTGGTGGTGCAGGTATTATTCTGGAAGGTCCAAATCAAGTCACCTTGGAACAATCTCTCAAGTTTGGCTTCAAAGTGACAAACAACTAAGCGGAGTACGAAACACTTCTCGCAGGGCTAAGGTTAGCTCACGATCTCGGAGCGCGAAGAGTGAGTTGAAACAGCGACTCAAAACTCATGGTAGAGCTGCTCAGCGGGACATACCCAGCCAAGGATGCTCTTCTGCAACGGTATTTCCACGTGGCATCATAGTAGATCTCATCCTTCGATGAGTTCACTATACATTATGTACCACGAGAGAAAAATACCAGAGCCGACCTCCTATCAAAGCTCGCTAGTACCAAATGCCCTAGACATCATCGAACCATCATCCAGGAGACCTTGTATTCACCCAGCTTAGATGACAAGGTCGTCAGCGATAGTGAAGAACAAGGATGGATGACAGGCATCTGGAACTACTTGAAGGCAGGAGTTTTACTCGAGGATAAAGATGAAGCTCGAAAGATGAGGGTAAGGTCAGCTAAGTTCGTAATTGTCAGAGACGAACTGTTCAAACGTGGCATCTCCACCCTATTGCTCAAATGCTTGACGGAACCTCAAGCTGCTTATGTCGTCGAGGAGATCCACCGAGGTATATGTGGCATGCATTCCGGAGCACGCTCGATGGCGACTAGGGTACTCCAAGCTGGATACTACTGGCACACATTGAAGTCAGATTGCTAAGCCTACGTGCAAAGATGCAAAGAGTGCCAACAGTTCGGCAATACGCATCGACAGCCACCCGAAGCTCTCCACCAGATGATGTCACCATGGCCTTTCGCCTAGTGGGGAATGGACATCCTAGGACTGTTCCCCCCGCAAAGGGTCAACTCAAATTCCTCTTGGTGGAAATCGACTACTTCACCAAGTGGATCGAGGCATGCCCACTCGCCAAGATCACCACTGAGAATGTACAGAAGTTCACCTGGAAGAGCATCATATGCAGGTTCAGAATTTCGCATTCCTTTGTCACCCATAAGGCCGATAATTCATTGCGCAGAGCTTCGAAGACTTTCTTCGGGAACTTGGAATTAAGCACCTCCCGACCTCGGTGGAACACCCACAGACCAATGGCCAAGCCGAAGCTGCAAACAAGGTGATACTCCGAGAGCTCAAGAAGCGGCTAGGGAGTGCCAAGGGACAATGGGATGACGAACTTCCCAGCATCCTCTAGGCATACCATTGCACCCCCCAATTAACGATCCAGGAAACGCCTTACACGCTAACTTATGGAGCTGACGCTCTGATCCCAGTGGAAGTTGGGGAGACATCTCATCAATGCCAGGTCTTCAATAGCGAGCAGAACTCTCAAGAGATAGTAGCCGACCTTGACCTAATTGACGAGCTTAGAGACGAAGCTCGAATTCATGAAGAAGCCTGTAAACTCCGAGCTTCCAGAAGATATAATACGCGAGTGCGACCTCGCTCTTTTCGAGTTGGTGACTTGGTGCGGCGACTGTTAGGCGAAGCACGAAGAGACACATCAGAAGGAAAGCTTGAACCCAACTGGGGTGGCCCATTTCGAGTTTTAAAAGACTTAGAAAATGGGGCATACCGACTAGAAGAACTCAACCGCAAAGCCATCCCGCGGACTTGGAATGCCACGCATCTTAAGTTTTATTTTAGCTAAACTTGTAAGAATGAGTTGTGCTCTCTTTTCCTGCCTCAGTCTTTTGTCCCAAAAAATAGAAAAATGGGTTTTGGCTGAGAGGGTTTTTAATGAGGCACACCCACAACATGAATAAAATGACTCATTCTCTCTCTATTCATTGTTTCTTAACTCTACGTTATTTTTCCATAAGATGTTTTTCGAGGTCGAGTTTGAACCTTAGTACGATTTATTCTACTCTAAGCCGAGGTCGAATCCAAATCTTGGTACAATTCATTTCACTTTAAGCCGAGGTTGAGTTCAAACCTTGGCACGATTCATCTTACGTTAAGCCGAGGTCGAGTTTGAACCTTGATACGATTCATTTTATTCTAAGTCGAGGTCGAGTTCGAACCTTAATACGATTTATTCTACTCTAAGCCGAGGTCAAATCCGAAGCTTGGTACAATTCATTTCACTTTAAGCCGAGGTCGAGTTCGAACCTTGGCACGATTCATCTTACGTTAAGCCGAGGTCGAGTTCAAACCTTGATACGATTCATTTTACTCTAAGCCGAGGTCGAGTTCGAACCTTGGTACGATTTATTCTACTCTAAGCCGAGGTCGAATCCGAACCTTGGTACAATTCATTTCACTTTAAGCCGAGGTCGAGTTCGAACCTTGGTACGATTAATTTTACTCTAACCCGAGGTCAAGTTCGAATCTTGATATGACTTATTTTACTCTCACGCCAAGGTCGAATTCGAACCTTAAACCTTACCACGAACTATCCTATTCTAAGCGAAGGTCGAATTCGAACCATGCTACGAATTAGAAGCACAAGATACAAACTTAGCAAAACAATATATGTACAACAATTCCATGAGTTCAACACATGAATCCAAGGGAAAGAAAAAATAGGCAAGACAAAATAAACTAAGCTATTACAAAAACGGTCTAGGCGGAGGCATTTTCACTTGAGCTGTCCTAGAGGTCGTCCTCTTTCACCAGCCGCCCAAAGCGCACCTCTTTCTCCACATGGATTGCAGAGAGGTCGACCCCGGGTGCCAGCAACCTCGCCTGGCGAGCTGCCTTGAGGAATCCCTTTTTGTGCTCAAACAGGACGGCTCGCTCAGTTTTCACGAGCTTCTTCTCCAGCTCCTCCTTTGCCGCAACCATCTTCGCGAGGTCCACCTTCAAAGCAGCAACCTCCTCTTCTTTCCCACCAAGAAGCACCTCGTCACAAAGACGCTTCTCGGCCGCCGCCACTAGATCAGCCTTCAGCGAGGTTACCTCGTCTTCCAAGGAACGTACCCGACCTCGGGAAGAACAGGCGAGTTCCTGCAGCTCACCCACTTGGGCAGCGTAAGTCTCATTAGACCTCAGAGCAATCTCTAAGGACTTCTAAACTCTCTCCAGCTCCCTCCTGGTGGCTTGAAGCTCGGGGTCATTCTGCAGCTTGGCATCACCGAGAGCAGCCGCCAAGGCCTTGTTCTCTTCCTTTAGCGGCTGGACTCGACTCTTCATTTTCTTGAGGTCTCCCTGCTGCTTGGACCACCTATACTTCTAGTGATCCAAAATGGCCATTGTCCTCTGCAAGAAGACCTCAGCAGAATCAAGGCCTTCCACTGGCCCGACCGTCTCGATCATAGCCTGATCAGCCGAGCTCAGCGAACCCCTGGGGAAGAACTTCTCCGAGGTCACCCCTGCGCTCCACAGTGAATTTATGTCTTCTGAAGCGCTCACGTGGTCCAAGCACACTAGAGAGCGATCTTTACCAAAGCGCTGGGCGAGGTATTGGCTTTTGGGGGCCCCCCTAGACGGGCCAGACGGCGACGCCAAGGCCGCAGGAGTAGTTGTCGGGACCTCGGAGCTCGGCCCCTTGTCGCTAGCCTCGGTAGAAGCAGAAGCAGGCGCCTCCTGCTCGGCAACGAGGGTGCCCACCCCTGGTACCTCCGAGCTCGGAGCCACCTGGACCTCGACAACATTCCTCGCCTACAAAAGACAAAAATTCCCTCCTAAGTCACAAATCAAGAAAATGGCAATATAGAAGGAAAACCACAAAGAAAGACACCAACCTCGGCGGCCTGGGCAACCTATTCGACGGCCTGGGCAACCTCCTCGGCAGCCACTTGGGGAGCTCCCTCGGGCGGAGGACTCCTAGTGAATTCAACCGTGCCGGTGTCGGCAGCCTTCGAGGTCACCTCCTCGGTGCCTTTAGGGGCTGAGGTCCCCTTGACCTCTTTCTCTCCCCTCTTTCTTTTTCGACGGGTCTCTAAGGGGGCCACCTCCTCCTCTTGAGGCTCTGGGACCTCAATTTCGACGATGTTGTAGCGAGACTTGAATTCACGCCACTTGTTCTTGCCCATTATGCCTGCAAGCACAAGAGTAGATACGTCAGTAAAAGAAAATTTTACAAACCCCTAAGAATCAAAAAAGACGAAATACTAACTCTCTAGACCTCTCTCCTTGTACGCCGAGGCCGTCAATTGCAGATTGGCCAACCCGTTAAACCTGGCCAGAGCCTGCCGCCAGTAAAAAGGAAACTTCGGCAACCCGCCGAAGTGGAACACCTCGTCTTTCAATGGGTTGACATCCTGGAGCGCAACCCGGAAGAACTCTTGCTTGAAATTTTTGTAAGACTGGGAGTAAAGAGAAAACAACCCCCCAGCCTTACTACCACTCAGAGACGCCCAACCGTAAGGAGGGACCCCCAGTTTCAAATGATAAAAGTGAAGAAAAACAGGAAGAGATAACCCTATCCCTAGGGTCGAACACAGGACTTGAAAAGCCCTAAAAAAAGCTTAGTTATTGGGGTGCAACTGGCAAGGAGCCGAGTTGAAAAAATTTTAAAAATCACATTCAAATTGGGAAAAGGGAACACACACGCCTAAATCCCTAAAAAAGCACTGGTACATATAAAAGAAAGGAGAGTCAGAGGGAGCCCCCATATAGACACGCTCACCAGGCTGACACGGTTCCAGCCGGATAAGCTTGGAAAGAGAGGATTCATAAATCCTATGTGATTTCCACATCGCATTGATCTCCATAAACGACCTGAAGATGCTCTGAAATTCCCCTACGTCACTCCTGGCCAAGTCGTAGCCAGGAACGCCGGTGAAGGGTTCCTTAGGCTGGTTCTCCCCTTTTCTCTTTTCGGCGGCGGCCGCCTCGGCGGCCACTGCCTTGTCGCGCGCCTTGCCTTTACCCTTGGCCAGCGCAGAAGGAGCGGCACCACGGTTACCAGCCATCAAGAATATAAAAAGATTGGAGAAGAGGGAGAAGATAGGGAAATCAAAGTACCTGGTACTCCTTTGATAAACGAAAGAACACTAATGAGAGGTGGAGATGCGGTTGCCAGAAACAGGAGAACAAAGATGAAGAAGGCAGAAGACGAAGAGGGAGCAGAGAAATGAAGAAGCGTCGGGAACAAGACAAAGAGAAAAAGTAAAGTGAAAGGGGAAGAGGCGCGAGAGAGAGAAAAGAAACCTCCAAAATTCAAAATGGCCACGACACGTGTCATCCAGGGAACACAACTTAAGACACATTTAATGAGCCCCATCATGATGGGCACAGTCATCATTGCGTAACGGTCACTTCCCATTAACACGCCGCCCACGCGTTATGGGAACGAGGTGACGGTTATGACAGATGGCATCGTGACAGGCAGGCGCACGCGAAGGGTCATTGCCCCTTGTCGAGCTCAGCATTAACTCCTCGACTCATGGTCTTCGGAGCTCGGGGGGCTAGTGTACTATCCGTATCGCGAAGCCGAGCTCCAGCTCGGTATCACAGCGCAGGACGACCTCAGACACGCGCTGGGCGACCTCGGCCAAGACGAGGTTCGCTACCTAAATAGGTCATCATCGATCTCAGGCCCAAGGCCCAATGAAAACCCTAATTCATACAAAGGTACGTGCATTACTTATACGAGACCCATACATCCACAAACACTAACTTTAGCATCAGAGTCTCTTTTGCAGGTACCACCCCCATCTTGGAGCAACCAGCGTACCAGTAAAGGAGGCTCACCGATCTTACCCAGCAGATCGTCCCCTACGACCGATCTCCGGTAAGAACAACAACCAAATTTATTT